CTTTAATTTGTAAATATAGGACCAATATTTGTATTCAATACCGATCCAATATTTAAATGCAATATTTACCCAATATTGGTGCCATATATTTTACCATTTTAGTTTGCAAATATAGGACCTATATTTTTATTTAATAATGATCCAATATTTACCCAATATAGGTGATATATATTTTACCATTTCAGTTTGTAAATAAAGTAAATTTTTTACGTTAAATTATAAAGTTTGATGTATATACATGTGTATATATATATATATATATATAAATTTGGGAATAGAAAAAATGGATATTTATAATTCAATTTTAAATAACGAAAATATATTTTATTGGTCTATGTATTACATAAAACATTAAAACACATACATAAACCACATGATGTTACAAACTAGGTATCATAAAACATATTATCTGTTTTTGTGTCCACCCCCTCTATCTGACGCCCCGCCAAATACAGGGATATGGAATTGTTTAGTTCTGAAGTTGGGAAGCGTTTACGGATAGCTTCTATAAAGAAAAATAAATAATAATTTATTTTGCAAAAATTAAAAAAAACTTACTTATTACAGCCAAATGACAAGATAATTTTCGAAAGGATAGCTTTCCTTTTTTTTTCAGTCCCTAAATACAGCCACTTCCATTGATAAAAGTTTATTCATTATTAGAAAAACTGCCTTGTGGGCAGTGTCCCCACCACAAAGGTACAATCGGTGACCCTATAATAAACAACGTGATAATTTGTATCGAACTTTTAACATAATTCTTACCGGCATTTCAGCATTTTTTTCTTCCATCAAGTGCAGTTTCTGGATATTCATGGTTATAATATTTATATAATATATTAAATTGTATAGGTACTTACATTTACTTTGCACAGGATACAAATTTTGTTAATTTGCAATCGATAAATAGGTACCTATAGATATCACGAAGAAAAACTTTTACACGTGTTTCAAACAACCGGATGGAAGTGTCAAACACGGTGTTTGACACTTCCACCCGGTTGTTGGTATGCGTGAATTCGCGGCGAGCGCGCGCAGCATGTGTTGGCTTTGTACAAGTGTTGTCAGTACTACAGAATTTTCCCTACACAATATATACCCAATATAGGTCCAATATTAGAAAATAGGACATTATATATAATGCCGTTTAATTGTTAAAAAGAGAATCTATGTTTTTAGTTTGAACTTGGTAAGATTTTACTCCATAATTGAATGAAATATAAGCACATATAGAAAGCTTTTTTCTCAGTAACATGTTTCATAAAAATTGGCCCAATATTGGGTTATTATTAAAATCAAATGAATGCGAAGGTGGTAATGCCAATAAATTACCAATATTGGCTAAAGATTGCCAATATTGGGCCAATAAACAATATTTTACCAATGTAGTTAATATATTGGCCCAATATTTTGTGCTACTGGGGTGACATGGATATATTGGAAAATCATTTTACGATAATGTAAGGGTAATATTAGATTAACCTTGGGCAACCATTTTCAATGATATATTGGATAATCATTTTACGCCAATATGGGGCCAACATAGCACACACATCGCACTGAGAAAAAAATGGGACAAATAAACTGTTTACAGGTCTAATACCCAGATAGCACAAGATAACCCACAGACGTCCTATTTAGGTAATTCTCGGCTGAGCCAGACCGAACGGGTCTGGGACATCCATAGAACGTCAAGTCTAGACCCTGTCCGGCTTAGCCTGATTAGGCGTATTTTGGACGTCCAAAGTAAGCCAAATAAGGCTTAGCCGGACCAGGTCTATAATTGACGTTCTATAGATGTCCCAGACCCGTTCGGCCTGGCTAAGTCGAGAATTACCTAGATTGGACGTTCCTGCTCACACAGCACAGGATGTCCAAATGACGTCCATTGGACATCCTTTGGACATCTTGTACTATGTGGGTGCACCCATGGGCTATCATGCCTAAACTTTTCGTTCAAGAAATTTCGGATATGTAATAACTTGTGGGTAATATTAAATATCATGTACAAATTATATAAACCACCTATTTTTATGAGGTTTCTCTTTTGCCTTCTTTGGATGTTCCTGGGACAGCCTGAGGGTGTCACAGAGAGTCAATCAAATCGATTAGCCTTATTATAAGAAAGATTAATTTACAAAAAAATTAAGTTTATTATTGAATATAGGTAGTCTATAATACATATTCGTACTATTCGTCGGGATTTATACATTTATATTTAATTTAAAATTTCTTGTTATCACGTAAAGGTAGTAAAATCCATTATTGCATCATTTTTAAATTCAATTAAATTCTATTACCATTGATTAATAAGTTCACTACTTCTTTACTCAACGCTATTACGTTTAAATGTATAAAAACACCGTTATTATAACGTATAGTTTTAAATTTTAAACATCGGTCTTCTTCGGGTAGAACCGAACGGGTTCGTGACGACGCTTCCCATAATCCGTTGCAATGGCGTTCTTTTGCTGTGTGATGGCGTTTATGGCGGTGTTTCTACATTGTGTGTTGTGATTTCTACTAGGTATTGGCTGTTTATAGACTTGTAATAGAATAAATTCAAGTAAGTAATTAGATTAGGTTTGTTTTGACTAATAGACTGTACCACACAAACAAAATTTACGGTTGCACTGATAATTGGGCGTAAACAAATCGTGAAAACAAGGATTTAAAAAAAAATATTTTATAAAAACACATTTTTATTGTTTTTAGTTTCCAAGGGATTTCTTTCTATACTTTCTAAATTTTATTTTATCCTCCCAAAGCCCTACATCAAAATTTTACAACAACCAAACTACAAAGTGAGGTTATCATTTTTATTGTTATCTAGAAAAGCTTTTATTCCTATTTAACCGTGAATTTTTTTTATGTGGTGCTCATGAGCTCATATACCGTTTCTTTATTTGCAAGCTATACATAGCCTATGTCATAGGGAAAATACATTGTAGGTGGACCAGACAAGTTGAAGTCAGCGCAAAGCAAGGAATGTCTGAATTTCGAATTTACCGGCAGTGGACGTCCAATGGATGTCATTTGGACACTGAGATGTCCAGGGGATATCCTTTGGACGTCCTCTGGACATTTGTACTGTAATTATAATATAGGTGAATAAAAATGTTTGGTTAAAAATTGTAGGTGTTTTAGTTTTTATTCCTGTCAGCCAAATTATGGCCAAATTTGGTCCTAGGACAGTCTTTAATAGACCATTATAGGACGGCCAAAGGACAACCAAAAGTGTCTACTTTGGAAGTCCTACGGACGTCCATTCGTGGTCTTCGGATATCCGTAGGACGTCCACTATGTCCTGGGTTGACGTCCTAAGGATATCCAGTGGACGTATGTGTGCTATCTGGGTACTTTTATTTGTAGTGAATATATTGTTTATTACCTCTAAATAGTCGAAATAATAACGATAAATATACTTTAGTAAAACTTTATATGTCGGGAATAAAAATATATTTAGGATAAATAAACTGTACCCTTGTCCCATATTTAAATATTTTTTTTATTTGGGAGCAATAAACTTTTTTCTCCGTGCGACTATGATATATTGGATAATCATGTTTCGCCAATATAGGACCAACCTTGGATAAATATTTTTAATGATATATTGGCTTAAAATGATATGCCAATATTGGACCTTCTTGGATAAATATGTTTAATGATATATTGGCTTAAAATGATATGCCAATATAGGACCAACCTTGGATAAATATTTTTAATGATATATTGGCTTAAAATGATATGCCAATATTGGACCCAACTTGGATAAATATGTTTAATGATATATTGGCGTAAAATAATATGCCAATATAGGACCAAGATTGGATAAACATAGGCAAGATATATTAAATAACCATTTTATGCCAATATAGGGCCAACATCGGCTAAATAAATCCAATATTGGTCCCAGATAAAATATTGGGCATATATGCGCCCCATATAGGACCAATATTTTGTGCTACTGGGGAAACTGTTGATTCAATTGTTAACATACTTTTTCTCTCAATGTACGAATGAGTCGCAAAAATGAATATCCAAACACAGATGGCATAAAAAATAATGTCGTGATTTTTTATGCCATCGGTGTTTGGATATTTATTTTTGCGCCACATTCGTACATTGAGAGAAAAAGTATACCTACATATATATTGAATCAAAAGTTTTTGTGGTTGAATATTCAACATTCAATATTTTCTTGGATTTAAATGAACTATATATAGTTAATTTAAATCCAAGAAAATATTAAATGTATTTAACCGCAAAAACTGTTGATTCAACATAATTTTTCTCTTAGTGTACGAACGTGGCCCAAAAATGATTATCCAAACACCGTTGGCATAAAAATCACGACATGATTTTTTGTGCCATCGGTCAATCACAAACAGCGATGGCATAAAAAATCACGACATGATTTTCATTTCTCACGCAGTGACATCCGGATGATGTCCGTATAAATAAAATTTGTGAAAATCACGACGTGACGTTCGTATGATTTTCATTTATCACGCGGTGACTTCTGTATGATATCAGTATGAATAAAATTTGTGAAAATCACGACATGATGTTCGTATGAATATCACGAATGTTGTCCGGGATGTTGCTTGGAACTTGTAGAGGATTATTCTATGAAATATTCACAATAAATATTCACTGGGAATGTTCTTAGATGGTGCTTGGAAGTTTTAGAGGATCATTCGAATGATCCTAGATCTAGGAATATTCCCAAGGAATATTACTAGAATGAAGCGGATTATTCCTAGATGATAGGGCATATTCCCGGAATATTTTCGAAACTTCATTTCAGTCTGGGGTATTCTTAATACGGATAATACCTACGAGAATAAATGCAATTTTTCTTAAAATACGGAAAATTGGAAAAATGTTTCAATTCGTGCTACGGATAAAACGGAAAAAATTTAAATGTGAATTTGTTTGAAAATTTCCCAATTTTCCGTTTTTGTGTAAACAAATAAAATTAATTTAAATTTACGAACCAGATATAAGACAATTTTTTTGCGGGTCCAATGGCACAAAATACTCCCATAAGTTTAAACCAAGGCGAAAAATAGCAGCCCGAATTTTATTACAGGTCCTCCAAACTGCTCCTAATTTAATTCCCTGGAATGTTTTGGGTTTAGTAAAAAATATGTAGGCATTACATACCCATATATGGGTATAGGTATGTACTTTTAGTTATTAAAGTTTACCTTGCAGTGAGGCATTTTGAATGCTATAAATAATCCAAAATTAAACTATAAATTTCTTTTCTAATCACACAAGTCTATTGAGAATTATTAATGACAGTTAACGTCAAAATTGGCATTTTAAAATAATAATTATGACATTATTTGATTAGGTAATTAGTAATAAATTAAAAATATTTGTTGGTATAAAAACAAATTGCATACTTATTATTATTATTATCAAGTACCTATATTATAATTTTAATAAACAGTTACGTGAGAAAGAAAACCTGGATTAGATTTTTACATTTTTAAATTCACGTCATTTAAAAATACGTGATGTCACTTCCTCTCGCGCATGCCCGTTGAAGTTTCTGCATAGGGAATCTAGATAAAAAAGTAACCTTGAGGAGCGCTGCTATCCGTGGACAAACTACAAACGAATTGCCAATTTATAAAGTTTACACCCGTGCTTTTGCGGCGCTTCTGGTTTCGTCTACAATTTTACATTACAATAATTCCTCCAGAATTAACTATATTTTAAGAAGATAACCACCATCGTCTTCTTAATCTGCCAAGGTAAGCCATTTAGTATTTATCGACGTATTTTGTATCTGCAAACGCCGGTTTTACTATCTACGACATGGACATCAATTCAACATCGCGGCATTGTTTAAAAATTTACGTTTTACCTGACTTATTCCGGTTTTGTTAACAAAATATCATAGAATATCTTAATAATTATGGTTTAAGTTAAATGAAAACCCTTATAATTGCAGATATAACCACTTTAGCATGCAAAAAGCATTCTGCATCCCATGTGTGCTTGCAATGGAATCCCCCTTTGTTGTTTGACAAATTTTAAGAATGCCCTACATTGGCGAAGATACCTTGTTTAGTAGCATTTTAATATACCTTATTTATTATACAATGCTTTGCACTAAAATTAAACCACTTTTTATTAGTAAATTAGTTTGAATTGGTTATGTATATGCACACAATGAAATTGATCAACAATAATTTAGTTTGCTATTTTCTTTTGCCAAAAGTTATTTTTTTCCCACCATTTGTGTACAGAAGATTGCAAAACCCATCCTCATGCCTTCATGTAAATTGTATGCCCCTCTGGGTCATACTTGTACTAATAGTGATTTTAGTTTGCAGATTATTGTAACACAAGAACCTAGTTATTTTGGTTTAATCCCTAAATCATCAGGAATGGTAATGGAGGCCCCGCCATCACCACAAAGTGTTGGCCGTGAATTTGTACGGCAATACTACACACTTCTTAACAAAGCCCCTACACATCTCCACAGGTAATTAGTGTTTCTTAAAATCAATAAAAATTAAAATTAAAGCTGATAAAATTGTGTGGTACAAAGTTTCGGTCTGCCTTTGTAAACCACCCTTGGTGGTGTAGTAGTCAGTGCTTCGGACTACAAGTCGAGTGGTTGTGGGATCAAATCCCACATGGGTATGGCTGTTTATTTGTGTTTGTTCACAGTTAAGTGGTAGAACAGCTAATGCTTAACTTCACCCTTTGATCATTGATCATTGACAAAGATCAATAAAGAAACAAAAAAAAAACTAAACAATAAGTTCTTTTACTATCATGTAGCCTAGTATTTATTTATATCTTTAATGCTTGTACCATTGAGTAAGATGTTGTCAATGCTTGTACACTGTACAGGGTGTCCCAGAAGTCGCACACTACCTTGAAGATGTTTGTCAAACATTGTTTGATCTACAGGATCCTCTACCTTTAATATTTAAAAAGACATGAGAGCATAAACATTTAGTTTAAACTTAAAAATAATAGGTTTACCTTGTTTATATTGTTTTAAGTCTCACTATTAGGCCTAATGTACATAATGCAATAAGCAATGGTTTCATTGGAAATCAATATTTTATCTAATGAGAAAATGCACTTTAACAACATGCATTTGGCAACATGGCAACAATTGATTATCACAACAATTAATCGGTTTGTTAACATCACACCATAGACAACGATTGACAGTTAGAATTCAAAATTAGATTCTTTCATAGCATTTTTGTTGAAATTGACATTAGGGTTTCCAGATTCTGCTAAAAAAGAATTTACTTACCTTAATTACAAAACTGGCACAATCAACAATACTTGGGTAACATCAAATTTACAATTTGTATTGTTTCATTGTGTCATTTTTGTAATTATGGTAAATTCTCACAAAATGTACTCTATTTTTTTAACAGAATCTGGCAACGCTCAATTAGATATGTATTCCTTTAGTAAGTATTGTAATAATGTCTTGTGACTCACAAGTTGTGAGTATTGTAATAATGTAATGCTTCTGTCTAGTTTGACATAGAATAACTAACCTGTAACTTAAAGTAACAAATTTGGTCAATTCATTTTGACACTTTTTAATACTGTTTGTTGCCATGATGCTTAATAATTAAACTTCCACTTTATTACTGGGTAATGTTGTCATTTAAGGAAAATATGTATCATTTTAATAACAGTTACAATTTTCTGGGACATGCTGTTTATCAATATATTCCTATTTAAAATGTTTGTTGCTTAGTTTATTTGTAAATAGCACAGACCACCAAAACAAATGGACGGATTTGTTTACGTTTAAAAAGCGAGTAAAGCATAGTTTCACATTCTAAACACCGTCGAAAGAAACACGGCTTCCAACGTTGTCAGAAGTATATATTACACGCCTTTTTGGACGTTCATCATAACATAATGAACATTAATAATTACCAGTAACTCGTTTGAATAATAAAAAAATTATAAAAAGGATTTGTTCATCATTGTCTCTCTATTTTTCTCTATTTAAAGAAAGTAAATAATTTAATAATTATTAACAACGTTGGTAAATTCGTCATATTTGACAGCATAGAAAAAGGTTGACATGTCAGCTGCAGCTTGTTGTTTTGTGTTTTCGTTTGTGTATTTCTATCGTGTTAAGGTTAATTATGGAGTTTAAATACATTATTTTTTACTAAAAATAACAATACATGGAAATATCGTTTGTAAGTACCTACCTACTTATTATTTTTTTTAATCCCAATACGTCACTGGAAGAAAACATAAAATTCTATCCAATTTAACCTTAGAATTCTAACCTAAGAATTTAACGCTTAGAATGTGACGGTTTGTTGACGTCACTGGAAGAAAACATAAAATTCTATCCAATTTAACCTTAGAATTCTAACCTAATAATTTAACGCTTAGAATGTGACGGTTTGTTGACGTCACTGGAAGAAAACATAAAATTCTATCTCCAATTTGACGCTTAGACTGTGACCGTTTGTTGACCGCAAACAAATCATTGTTATTGAATGGCAATGCGCCGTCCATTTGTTTTGGTGGTCTGTGGTAAATAGCATACCATACTAAAATACAAGTGTTTCGGGTCCTTACAAGTTGTTTTTTTTCAGTTTTGTTGTTTAGTATAAACTTTAATTAAAATCTTATAATCCAATTTAATAAATTTTTGATAATTTAAAAAAATAATAAATAATCATTAACAAAAAAAATTATAAACTTTTGTAACCAACCAATTTTAGTCAATGAGTACCTACAAACTATTCATATTTAGTATAAAATTGCTTTATTTCATAAAACAAGATAGAAACGGTTTTTTCTGTCATAGCTATTGGGTTTTAACCAAGAGGTAAACCATTGAATTTTTAAAATTAAAAATCGCTTACGAATGAACGGCTAAGGATAAAAATATCAAGGGTAGTCACGCGCAACGCGTCGCTAAGAGAAATTTCTTATTGATAAGCACTGATTAAGCAAGTTTTCCTTATTATTGATAATGACTGATAAGAAAAAAAAACCACAACACAACACAACTAACATTGAACGTTGGTCTCTTAGATTAAAAGTATTTAATACAAAAATACAAATACTAAATGCTTTTACCAAAATTTGTAAAATAAAAAATAAATTAAAATTAAATAAAATAATTTAGGGTTGTGACAGAAAAAAGCCGTCTAAGGTTCAGTTTATCAATGTCCAACTAAAAGTGGCGGTTAAGTATCTTACAGTTACCTTTATCTGACCGTTATCCAAATAGAAGTGTTTCTTCACCTCGTACAGTTCCTGTTTCATATCTGCCAGTTTAGTAATTTGGCAATTGGGCAACACTGTCAAGATACATTTTAATTGGTTAAATTTAAATTCATGGCATGCGCAAAAACCACATAACCTCAAACAACTCTTATTTTGTGTATATTGTTATGCTTTTTTATTATTTTATAGGTGTAGATATGGGTATGTTTTTAAATAAATAATACGTACATAATAGTATATTATGTATCAAGTTTGATAAACGCCATTTTATACACGTGCTTAGATTAATGAGTGTATATAAAAGTTTATAAACGAGGTGCATACTATACTTTTTCTACGACAAATACTTATTATTTACAACTGTCAAATGTCACATTTTTACATTTTATAAACACAATTATAAAGGTTATAAATCGAAATGTATCTTGAAAATTGACAGTTTTTCACAGTGAAAGTAAAGGAAATGTTTTATGAGGACTTTACAGTCCGTGCCCGAATTTAAGTTATAGTTTACTGCGGGCGAAATTAAAAGATCAGTACAATGTTCATATAAACTTTTCAAATATTGGCGTTGAGAAACTATTTAATATTTTTGTATTGAGATAATAAAATAATTTTTACATTTAGTATTATTTTACAAGAAAGGCACTTTATTTTAACGATTGTATGACATTTTACAACTGTCAACTAACTTAAAACTAACTTCAGCCCGTGACTAAAAACCTGTTGCTAACTTCAGCCCGTGACTAAAGAGCCGTAAAGCCACAACTTGTCAATGTGTATTTAAAAGGTCACTTAGTGTCATGGAAACATGTACGATAAAGGGCGTTTTAAAGGTACACACATTAATTTAAAAATATCGCATTTTTAAATTAACTTTACCAAAAAAAAATCTATTGGTTCAAATTGTTCTCTTAATAGGTGAACAAATATGTAGAACTTGTACCTACATATCCGTAAAAGTTTCTATTTCCTCCTCTATATTTGCTTCTGCAGCGGATATCTAAAAAAAAATCGTCATAATTTTGAAAATGTTCTTGCTGTTCTAAAACTGTATATATATTAGGGTGTGCCAAAAAACCTCGATATTTTTTTTTTCTTGCTCTCAACCCAAAATATCGTAGAATATGTCCGAACAAATATTCTGTTAAAAGCGGAGCTCATAATTTCAATTTTAAGAGGTCCTCCATCGAATCTGAAGTTTTGCCGCTTAAATAACACAGAAAACTGACTTTTTTACCTTATTTATTCTTGCAACCTAGGAAGAAATTTTTTTTTCATAAAAACCATGACCAAATCTTACAAAGCATTAAATTTGGAAGAAAAAATCTTATTAAGCCGAATTTCTATTTTCATTATTTGATTTTTTACAGAGCTTTAAATTTAAAATTTTACGTTTTTTGCCTTTTTCAGCTAAACTATTTAAGTTAGACGAAAAAGTCAAATGGCAATTTTTTAGCTTGTCTGATGGACCACAAAAAAGTTTTAGGCGAATTTTTTGTATCGTCAATATTCTTAAAGTTACAGGCGTATAAAGTCATCATTTTTGTATTATTAACTTTAAATAATAATGTTTAGAGGCGCGATCGCTAGAGGATCGGCCGAGGATGGAGCCCGAACTTAATAGGGGAAATTGACAAAACCATTTCTTGCTATATACAATTCTGCATTTAAGTTATTTTCATGCAAAAATGCACTTATACCTTGTACTTCACACCAGGTCCTATTTAAGTGAACCTCAACTTAACTTACTTGAATTGTTTTCATAACAACCGTTTTTGGATGTGTAATATTTCAGCCTATTTGGGGGCGACCATTAATTACGTGAGCTCAAAATGGGGGAAGGGATTTGGCAAAATCTTACCAAATAGAGTCAATAAAAATCTCACGTCGGAGACGTTGTTACAACAAATCAAATAAATTTAAGGATTTAAAAATTATAGCGTAAATCTCACGTGAGCGGGAGGGGTGTCCCACCACATCTTACCAAACCTCACTTTTTATCATTTTACACACATCATTTTATGCAAAACTGCAAACAAAATGAAGTTAAAATATTGGTAATGGTTGTGACATGAAAAAAGTTAACCCTAACATTTTTGTATATAAATTTATTGCCATTTTGAAGCGGTTTAAAATTTAAACTTTTAACTTTTTTCCATAAAATCATCCAAGGATTGAGGCCCTTCAGCCATCAATTTAGAAAAACCCTGTGTATATATTATAAAGGGGCTTTAAAGGAGCTCTACCTCACTTTTGAAGTCATCTCTCGCACTATATATTTACATATATATATATTAGGGTGTGCCAAAAAAACTCGATATTTTTTTTTTCTTGCTCTCCACCCAAAATATCGTAGAATATGTCCAAACAAATATTCTGTTAAAAGCGGAGCTCATAATTTCAATTTTAAGAGGTCCCTCATCGAATCTGAAGTTTTGCCGCTTAAATAGCACAGAAAACTGTCTTTTTTACCTTATTTATTCTTGCAACCTAGGAAGAAATTTTTTTTTCATAAAATCCATGACCAAATCTTACAAAGCATTAAATTTGGACGAAAAAATCTTATTAAGCCGAATTTCTATTTTCATTATTTGATTTTTTACAGAGCTTTAAATTTAAAATTTGACGTTTTTTGCCTTTTTCAGCTAAACTATTGAAGTTAGACGAAAAAGTTAAATGGCAATTTTTTAGCATGTCTGATGGACCACAAAAAAGTTTTAGGCGAATTTTTTGTATCGTCAATATTCTAAAAGTTACAGGCGTATAAAGTCATCATTTTTGTATTATTAACTTTAAATTTAAAGCTCTGGAAAAAATCAAATAATGAAAATAGAAATTCGGCTTAATAAGATTTTTTTGTCCAAATTTAATGCTTTGTAAGAATTAGTCATGGATTTTATGAAAAAAAAAATTCTTCCTAGGTTGCAAGAATAAATAAGGTAAAAAAGTCAGTTTTCTGTGTTATTTAAGCGGCAAAACTTCAGATTCGATGAGGGACCTCTTAAAAGTGAAATTATGAGCTCCGCTTTTAACAGAATATTTGTTTGGACATATTCTACGATATTTTGGGTGGAGAGCAAGAAAAAAAAAATATCGAGTTTTTTTGGCACACCCTAATATATATATATAGGTCGTTCTTTTTTCATCGACAATTACATGTCTTCATGAAGAATTAAATCAGTATTCTTTTGTTCCGCGTTTTTTTTCTGATTTTTTTTTATAACAATATAGGCACTATAATATAAGTATCCAAATAAATGGATAACATCTTAAAATTGCATTTTAATTTTTATTAAATTATTGTGACATGCGCCGCCTAATTTTACAAATAATTATCCTGTATTGAGCTATATAAAAAGTGTTTGTATAGAAATTTTGATTTTGCATAACACATAAAAGTAAAACATTTTTGTGACTCAGGTGTTTTGGGGACACCTCCGTTTCGGACCAAACTTTATATTTCGAAAAAAATACAAGTAATACTTAGTTAATACTGCTTTTGGAATCTAATATGGTTTGTGCAATAATTTCATTAAAGAAAAGACAACCATATATTTTTTTATAAAATCTTAAAATTAATCGCATTGACGGTAAAAAAGAAGAACGCCTCATATAACATTAAAAAAAATTACTTTTGTGATCATTTCGGAAACCCGACGTTTAATTGTTTTTCTGTTTAAATTTGCTAATTTAAGCGAATTTAAGCTCCAAAAATAATAGTTTAACTAATAGCAATGGTGAGCAGATAACTTTGGAGACATATACACGGATCGTTAAAAAATACAGGGTGTCCCGAAAATAGTGTGCAATACTCTACAGGTAATTTCCAAAGACAAAAAATAGGAAAAAATCTCCTCAGGAACATACAAATATAGCACAATATATTTAACTCCTTCTTGCCAAGAACTTCTTGGACAGTATCCTGACACAATTAAAAAGCAGATTTATTAAACATAAATTTGTTGTCTTCATTCGCACTGTTGGTTCCACAGAAATTCGACATAGTTATAGAAGAGGAGCAAATTTCTAAATTTTTTCAATTTACTACATTTTATCACCAAGATCTGGAGTGCAATAATCATGCAGTTTGGAGAGCAGAACTTGAATTATGGTGGGAATATCTGCAAAAAGTTGATGAGTATCAATCAAACGCAATTCAATTTTTTAAAAAAATTTATATACCCAAACATATCAAAACTTCTGAAAATATTCTGCACACTTCCGGTAAGCACTGCAACAGCTTAGAGAAGCCTTTCTGCACTAAAATTGCTTAATACTTATCTTAGGACTACTATGAGAGAAGAGAGGATGAATGGGCTGGCTCTTTTATATGTTCATCCTAATATAACAATTTCTGTGGAAGAGGTCTTAAATGAACTCCAAAACAGAAAAAGAAAGGATTGACATTATTTTGTAATTTTTTCAATATTTATTTTTATTTAGTTTAAGACATGTGGAAAAGTGGCAAATATTTTATACCAAATATTTTTGCATAAAACAAAAATGTTAACTTTGTGCTGTGTTAAGAGTTTATTTATTTTATTTTTTTCCATACATAATGTAAAAATAAAAAATAATATGTCTTATCAGTTAACTTACCAGGCTTTGCCCCCCCCAGGACACAATCCTGCGTACGCGCCTGGTCACAGTAGCAATATTTTCCGGCTCCAAGCTCTACATCTTAATGTTTGACCTAGAAGGAACTAATTCAGATACTCCCACCGAACCCATACAAAAACTAACTATACTACAGCATAATGAGGTATAAGTTCATATATTGCAATCTAAACAGCTATAAACCAAAAAATACATAATAAACCACTACATACAGAAAAACAATATAAAATGAACAATGTTTGTTGAAACAAAACTAAAAGAAAAAACTCAACCTTATTAAAATTGGGTCATAATCCAAAAAAGGGAAATATTTTAAACACCAATATCCGAGGGGGGAAGTCTAATCCAGTCATCACCTGAGCTTAAAATGGGTAAAGCAAACCCACCAACTTTAAATGACGTCAGAAATAACGTATTACATACAACGATCCCGTTCAAGGAATATAAAATACACCTATTTGTTACATATGTGCACCCTAACTCTAATGTTGAAGACAACCTACTAAAACCAAAAAGTACTTCCAATCATTTACCTTTTTTATATATTTGACCATTTTGCATTTGCATTAACCAAATATATTTTTTACAAAACTTGCATTGAGCATGTTCTTTTTTTGCACTAGTTTGTAATAATTCCAAACGTAAGTTTTTTCTCTTGTACCTATAAATAAACATCGAAACCGTTGTTTGTTATTGTTTTTATTTTGCTTACCTTTTAAAAGGCTTTTATGCAAAGGGTTTTTTGCAAACGATTTATGAATTCTGATGATGAGATCTTTGACAAACTTCTTCTTTCAATTAATACAAATTAACTTCTTCTTATTTAGTTTATTGGCCTTAACTTTGCAAATCAGCTGTTAAACAATTGACATTTACATAAAAAACAGGGAAAGTTTCTATAATTTTTAGCCCCAAATTTGGCTGCAGAAAAAAAAATAGAGTTTTCTACGTAAAAAAGGACTCTTGTTAAACATCTATAAAATGCACCATTTTCGAATAAAAATAAAATAACAAATAAAAAAAATGTCTTTTTCTTTTTCAATTTAAAATATATAACAAGAAATATTAATAAAAAAATACATATTTTTCGCGAAAATACATTATTTTATCTCACTGTTTCAGAAATAATAATAATAAAACAGCTTCAGGGGCGCCCCTTTAGGGACCTATGTTATATAAAGTTATTTTCCTATTTTTGGCCCTAAAACCGCTTTTAGGATATTGCACACTATTTTCGGGACACCCTAAATAATATACATATACAAGGTGTCTCAGGTTTTAAACATGAAAATTTAGTAGTTAGAAGGCAAAAATTATAAAAAAGTTTATATGAAAACAAGTTCATATATACTTTTATTTTAATTTATGCTAACTACTACAAAGCATACAAATGCTTTAAAGATTTGTTTTCGAAATACAGGGTGATAATAAATAATAATAAAGCAGTACCTAGTTATATTTTTAAATCAAGTTGGGATGCCCCAGCGCCGCCTCTGGATTTAATTACATTAAATTAAGCCATTTGCCCGTTTCAGCCAAGAAGTTTTTGAAATTTTTTAAAAAATAAATCTTTTTTTAATATCTTTATAATCTGTATCTTGAAAACATACAAGTTCATAAAAACTTTTTCTTATTTTTGTGAGTTTTATCAAGCACTAAATTTTCCCTATTAAATTTTTAGGCACCCTGTATATTATTAAATTATTGCATTTACTCGTATATGTAAAAAAATCATACATCCTTTTAAAAGGTAAATAGTTTTTTATTGTTTTAAAACAATCCTGGCTTTACCATTTACTAATTCCATGATGTAAAAATAGCTCAAACTTTTTTTAAATAAAGTTTAATTTTAAAAGGTTGCAAATGGGTATTTTTGGGAAACAGGTGAACACCTAAATTTGTTTTGAATTCTCCCCTCTTAAAGTATTGTTGGTTTAAAATCTCATATATGGGGTGTTTGTAAAGATTTCTGTAAGTAAAAAGCAATAGTTTGACAATGCAAGCAAGCAATGCTTGACTCATAATAGTCTGATGCTTTAAATTCGCTAAATTTAATAGAATAACGATGAAAACTCCCAAAATAGGGTTATAACTGTTTTATAATTCATTTGTAAGAAGTAGTAGTATTTTCTGATAAAGGATGTAGTTTTTGGCGGTGAACAGACGCAGAATTTAATTTTCTCCAGAAGGAAATTTTCTTGTCCGCTAAAAGGGTAGGTAAATATTAGGTAATATGTTAAAAACGTATTTTTGAGTGTGGTTTTTTTAGGAAAACAGCGTTTTAAGCAAATAAATCAGGCTAGAATTTTATAGGAATAGCTGTTAAAATTTTCAACTAATTAATAAATAATATATTTTTTAAATTTTAATGATCCACTTTGTTGCAATTTAACAAAGTTGAAAAAAAAGTAAAGCAATCCCAATAAACTAACATTTGTTTTTAATTTAAGGTTCTATAATCACCAATCGTCGTTTGTCCATGGAGGTTTGGACCCTCCAAATCGCGAGACAAGTCCCGTCATCGGTCAAAAGCAAATACACCAAAAAATACAACAGCTGAATTTCCGCGATTGTCATGCCAAAATCACTCAGGTGGATTCGCAGGCCACGTTGGGAAATGGCGTTGTCGTGCAGGTAACCGGCGAGCTATCGAACGCCGGTCAGCCGATGCGTCGTTTCACTCAAACGTTTGTCTTGGCCGCACAGAGTCCTAAGAAGTACTATGTGCACAACGATATCTTTCGCTATCAAGATGAAATCATCTCCGATGAGGACTGCGATGGAGATGTCCGCTCCGATCCCGGTGAGGACATCAACTCCGACAGACCCGTTTTAGGAGACGTACCTCAAATGTCGCCTCAAGGTCTACCTCCTTATTTCCCGAGCGCTGCTCTTCAAGGAAACCTTCCGCAGGTCGCCCCTCACCTCCACAGTGCTCCGCCCCACGTCTTAACTTCCCAAGTGCCCACAGTGAATGGAGCTGTTCACCCTGACGACCTCAGCGTCCTCGGGGGTCCGGTTCCCCAACCTCTCGGCCCACCCCTACCTCAGCCTCTGCAACAAACTGGTCTCGTGCAATCGTTAAACCCGCCGCCAGCTCAGATTGAAGAACCTGCGGTTCTCGACGAACCCGTCGAAGAGCCAGAGGAGCCGCCAGTCTATGATGAAGGTTTTGCCGCTGAACAAGAACCGGAGTTACCCGTCGAATCTGCCTCTAACGAACCTAAAACATGGGCCAATTTGCTCAAGTCCCCTTCAGATAAGAGCAGCAGCATGCCATATGGCAGTCTACCGGCTCAGTCAAATCCCTTGCCAATGTCGCAACCAATGAGGCCCACTTCACCAGTAAGTTATTTAATAAATAAAATTACACTAAACCGTCACTAACATTTCATTTGCGCTCTTAGCCTTCGGGAAACCAAGGTTTGGGTCTTAGGAACAATTCAAACAGAAGTGGTCCTAGAACCAACCAACAACAACAACAACCCCGCGTACCCAGACAAGATTCCGGAAGGGGCCTTCCTGGTAGAAACTCTATGAATGAAGAAGGTAATATACCGATTTTTTAAGTAAAACTTTGAGTTACGAAAGATAAAACGAAAACGGCGCGCGCACACGCTTATATTCGCACAGTACCATAAATTTAAAAAAGGGTGGGACAAATTCGAATAGTACATCAAAATTTAAAAAATAGGACGAATTCACACTTAAGTTTAAATTAAAAAAATGGCGGGAAAACTTTTTAAAATTTTCAAAACTGAGCTTAAGCTTGAAAGGTCAAAAAGCTCATTTTTTCATGCCATAAAGCAATGGTTTCTATTTTAGAATCAAGTCACAATTTCTGATGTAACTGATGAATATGATATTATTAATAAATCCAATAATCTAAACATTATAACATAAATAATAACACTGCTTTACAGCCAATAACACTGGTCAGCAAAATGAAACTTTTTGTCTGCCTTTGGGTAACCAGCAACTTTTTTAGGGTAATTTGGGTGCGCTGATTTAAAAATTGACCATCATATTACTCAATTAGCTCTTGTTTTCGAGATATTGTAAGAAAACGTTTTTTTCAATATGCAAACATTCAAATTTGTTTATATACAGGGTGTTTCACATTCGTGGTCCATTAGAAGTTTCTGGGGAACGAATAAAGATATCGATTTAAAATTTTAAAAGCGTTTGGAATCCATTTAAGTCTGTTTTTCTAAAATATTTTAAACAAAAGGCCGGTTTAACCGGAAGTGTCATCAACTTTGTTATATGTTAACATTTTTAAATTCTACATAAAATTCCGAGTAAAATTACTATACCATGTCCTATACCTAAAGTAAATAGTTTTTGAGATATTATTTTTTTCGTTAAAATTTGAGAAATGCGCGTCAATCAAAAATAGCCTATAACTTTTTTGTTATTAGGTTTGCAAATATGGGGTTGACATTTTTTAAATCTTAAAACATAATTTAAAAGATTCCATATCAATTCTTTAACATTTTTTGTGACGGGTGAGTTGATTCTTTAAAATTTAACGGCGTCATTTTTTCAGGTTATAAACAATTTGTTAACTATAATTATAATTAAGTGTTTTGTATACAATATTTCTGATAAAAAATAGTAGTCAGTGACTTATAAAAACAGTATTTGCTAATTTTGAAAAAAACTCAACAAAGCTGTAGGATGTCAACTAGATAAAAAACTAGCTCATTGGAGACAATAAAATATGAAATTTATTTAATGAAATATTTTAATAACAAAAAAATGCGTAAATAACAATTTAATAAACAATATTTTAATTAACAATTTTTATTACTAATTTATTACTAAATGTTTATGGTGTCCTCCATTTACATTCAAGCATTTCTTAATTCTTACTTTTACATTAGACGTTGCTATTCTTGACTAACTGACTGCTATTTTTTATCAATAGGTAATTTTGTTTACAAAAAATTTAGTTAGTCAACAAATTGTTTTAACAACCTGACAAATTGACGCCATTAAATTTTGAACCATGGAGCCTACACAAGGAGCCCGAACTTAATAGGGGAAATTGATAAAACCTGCCTTCTAAATTGCACAAATTAAGTATTTTTTTTTTCACCACCTGCGGCGCAGATTGTCGATGCGTACTGACGTCTGCTCTTTTGGTAGCGTTTCGGCACAAATTAGTCAATTCTTTCAGTACAAACGGAACACCAGCGCCCTCTTATCTTAGGAAGATTCCTTTTTACATACAGTTCGGACTCCTTATTACATTTGAAATAAAAAAGTTATTAACCTTTTAAGTTGGCCTAATTTGCCCTGTTTTTTTCAGGTAATTTGTTAAAAAATGTTAAAGAATTGACATGGAATATTTTAAACAATGTTTTAAGGTTCCAAAAATTACAACCCTATATTTGCAAACCTGATAACATAAAAGTTATACCTAGTCAATTTTTGATTGACGCGCATTTCTTAAATTTTAACAAAAATAATTATTAACTCGAAAAATATTTGGGACATGGTATTTTACTCAGATTTTAATGTTGAATTTAAAAATGTAAAAATATACCTATGGGGTGTTTCATTTAAAATAACAAAGTTGATCTTACTAAGTAGTATTTTGTTCCAAATATTTGTAAAAATAGACTTAAATGGATTATAAACGTTTTTAAAATTTTAAATTGATATCTTTTTGTTCCCCAGAAACTTCTAAAGGACCACAAATCTGAAACACCCTGTATTTTTTTAATGAAATACTTAAACCAAGGATCGTTTTTAATGAAGCTCTAAGTCGTAATTAAACACAAAAAAATAATTGTACACGTTCATACAGTAACTCCCTTAAAAAATCCTATTTTGAACGAAATAAAATCGATTTTTAGCAAAAATTCGACAATTTTCAAGGTTCAAAGTGCTTTTAAGTAAACAATTTTAGTCCGATTTAGTTGAAATTTACAATAATGGTAGCTTCATGTATCCACTCAATTGTGTTAAAATTTTAATTCAAACAAATAAAAATTACTAATAACAACCGCTCGTGTAAAAATTTATATTGTCAGTTTTGCTTCTGGCGTTTGTTCAACTTCTTAAATAAATTGTGTGTATTTATACGAGTTTTAAACACATTCTTTCACTGAAAGTATGGTTTTAAAACAAAAAACAATGACAATGTTCAAAAATATAAAAAAGTTCTTACATGAATCAATACTAAAATAAAAGTCAAAAAAATGTCAAATATGTTTTTTTTTCGAAACGAAAAGTTATCTGAAGAAATAAATAATGGTTTTCCAGAAACATATTTAAGGAGAATCGACTGATTTTTAGAATCAAATACTTTGCATTCAAATACTCTAAAGAATCAAATGATCATTCAAATACACAGAATTGAATAATTTGTTCCGAATCGTAACTTCCGAAATAGCTGAAAACATTTATTGAATTAATGTTTTTGGAACAAATTATTTGATTCTCTGTATTTGAATGACCATTCGAATTTTATTTTTGGTCTACAATTCGTTATGGGCTGAGCGGGTTGGCGTCGCACTGGCTGCAATATAAATTCTAAACCGGCTGATATACCTACTAATTGATTTATGACATGCTTTCTTTATTTTTGTCATAAAACATAAACTATATTATTTGTCAGGTTTTCAAAACTTTTGTAAATACGTGATAATTTATGCAAAATAGGCCATGGCAAATAAAAATAAAATGTATAAAAACGTAATCCTGTTATTGGGCTCTGGGCCTGTTCGAAAGGTTTGAAGTATTCGAATACTTTGTTGAGAATCGAATGCATTAGAATGCACACCAGAATCGAATACTTCGATTATTTTTATTCAAATGGTCCCTTTACTAAAAATGACCATAAATATAAGAGTTGTTATGAGTGCCATTTTGTCAATTTTTATTTGTTTGAGTTGAAATTTTAACACAATTAAATGGACAAACTAAGCTACCATTATTGTAAATTTTAATAAAATCGGACTAAAATTGTTTACTTAACAGCACTTTTTGCTTTTTAGAGGGAGTTACTGTTTGAAAGGGTACAATTAGTATTTTTTGATAATCTTTGGTTTAAGTATTTATTATCTAAAACGCCTTTACCTATCTTTATAAAATTTTATTTATAAACTTATTTTTAGAACGTTTTTTTTATTATTTAATTAAAGGGTTTTTAAAATATTTTTTTGAAAAACCCTCAAACACGTAAAGTGAGATATAAGTGAAGTATTTTTATAAAACATTTAATAAAGATTGGTAAAGGCGTTTTAGAGTTAGAATTTTTTACTTATTATGCGTTAATTTTGACGGGCAGTGTATAAACGAATTTGAATGTTTGCATATCAAAAAAACTTTTATTTACAATATATCAAATTAAGTTAAAGTTAAGAGTTATATGATGATCATTTTTGAAATCAGCGCACCCAAATTACTCTACAAATAGTTAAAAAGTTAAAAGTTGCCTGTAACCCAACTGCAAAATGGCTGTTGATCACTGTAATTATTAATTAAAAAAAGGCTAAAAGAAGTTTTAATTAAGCTGTGTGGTCAAAGCGCACGTTTGCCCTTCATTTAACTAAACAATAATAATTATTTTTAGGCGAGGAAAGGAGGAGACCACAGGGTATGAACTTTAGCAATGATGTGAACCAGCTGTTTTTGGGCAATTTGCCGCACTCGGCCACAGAAGATGACTTGAGGGAGATCTTCGCCGAATTCGGGACGGTTGTGGACTTGAAGGTGCACAGCAAACCCAACAACAAAATGAGCATCCCTCCAGGTGGCAGAGCTCCACCAAATTACGGATTTATTACCTATGATTCGCAACAAGGCGTGCAGAACTGCTTGAGTCACAAAGTAAGTTTTTTTAAATAAAATTTCTTGTCAATGGGGTAAACGAACTTGGCGTTACAAAATATTAGATTATTCGCACATTAGTACAAATATATAAATGGTAGGACAGACTCTATAATAAGAAATCAAAAGCTTAAAGAAGCTTAAAACCTCGAAAAAAGTTCAAAAGCTTGATTGAGGACATGTTTCTTACTTCTAATACCATAAGCCAATTGTTTCTGTCTTAAAATCAAATTTCTCAATTTCTGATCTAACTGATAAAAATGATGTTGAATTCTTCAAGTAAACTTCAACAAAATAATATATCAATAACATGTACTTAAAAGGTTAAATAAAAACAAAACACAAATTTTATTAAATTGCCTAAAACAAGTTTCACTTTATCTGTGTGGTCGTAACGCACATTTTTTTTAGTATTTAAGACGCTACATTATATTGTCAATTTAGAACAAAATTAGAGATTTCCAAAAAAGTTGTAAAAAAAACATTTCCGTTTTTTTTTGGACCACTTGGAAAAATTGGAAAAAAGAATAATTATCAAATCAAAACCGGAAATCTGAAAATATATTAAATTAATGTATATTAATATTATTAGGGAGGTTTCGGAACAATATTAGTTACTAAGAAAATTTTGACAAAAATTTAGGTTGTAGTAGGGTCTACTTAAAAGACATTTACAAAGTTTTAGACCATCTGGTTTCCGAGTAAAAAATTATTAAAGTTGCCAAGACTACTTAATTGTTTATTATTGCTTAACTTTTTTTTAAACGTTTATTCCAATAAACAAATTTCACAGTATATATTTATAAATATATATACATATATAATACATAATACATTTAGTTCATACATAATATTTTATAAATAATTTTCCAAATCAGCAGTGGCTGCTGGTCACGGAAATTTTTCTTATTTTGTTATACTTTTATTTCTATTACTTAAGATTTTAAGCGTAAACATTTATGTAACATATTTATACATAAATAAATAACTTAGGGGCATTTTCGCGAAACCTTACCCCACCTTGACAAAAAATAAGATGTGTTATTTAACAAAACAAAAACTATATTTGAAGTCAAATAGTTAAATTGCGACGTAATTTATAACCTTAAACTTCAAGAATAAACACGAAAGAGTTTTAATACTCGATAAATTCCCACCCATTACATTTTGAGAAAATTTTAGAAAATAAAGTATAAAATATTTTTTCATTTAAAATACCTGCTTGTTTGAGGTTACTATTTAAGTTTTACAAAAAAATTAATTTCTATATGCTTTCATCCAAAATTTTACAGCATTTGCCGATTTCTAATGTCGCGTTCGTTCATGACGTTATAAAATGTTTTCTATACAAGTTTTTATTGACATTTTGTTTGAGTTCAATATCTAGTTTTTGCTATTTTTATATATTAATTAACGTATCTTGATATAACTAAACAAACACTTTATTATGTTCTATATAGTTTACCCAGTGTAATTTGTCGTTAATAATTAAGCTTGGGTGTTTTGTTGAATTTACTTTGGATTTATTGCTATTACCTATTTTAAGGTTTATTTCTGCTTGTCTGGAGTTTTTTTGTTGTATGTTTTTCGGCTACAACCGTGTTGTGAATGTTAACAAAAATTTATATGCCACTTCTACTATAAGTGCCTACAAGAAAAAAAATTATAGATTTATTATTGTTTTATTGTCTTATGTTCTTGTACTACAAAGTTTGTAGTAGACTTCATTCTTTTTCACAACTCATTTTTAGATTTTAAATATCACTGCATATAGAACTGTCACTACCACTGTCAAAAGCAAAAAGCGTTACCATAAAAGTGATCGAGCCACTGATCGACGGCAATTTTCTAACTAGTAACTTACTAGTTACTGGCTAGTTACTAACAAGTTACTGACAAGTTACTAAGTATTTACTGACTAGTTACTAGCTTGTCACAGGCGGTCACTGCGAGTTCAGTAATTAGTTATTGAAGGTCATGGAGAATTATTAAATTTTTGGTGGCAATTCCCATTTGGAAAGTGAATGTTACTCAGCGCCACACGTAACTAAATCTGAACTCTGTTTAGCCCACACAAGTCTGGATTTTGTTCTACAGTGTACCCAGAAAGGATTGACTATAGAAAAACTTTTTTATTATACGTTTTACAAGAAAATTAATTGTTTATAAAAACTTCTGCTTGTTTTAAAAACTCATTAAACAATTTTAAATCAAATCACAGGGTGTTCAAAAATTATGAAATCAAGAGAGTTCTAGAAGTACCTTTATTTACTATTTTATAGAAAAATTTGATAAAAGAAAGTCGTTGTTGAAATACGAAATTTTTAAATTAAATTGTATATTCATTTTATTTATTTCACAGGTCCATAAAAAGAGTGGTCTGCGCCATGTATAAGACCATGATATTCCAATGTTTCGCCCGCTGAAACTACATTTGAATTTAGCACGTCTGGATTTTTGAGTTTTGAGAAATTTTCTGGAAAATTATTTTTTAATTTATTGATCTTTTGAGTGGTATTCAAAAGATTGTTTTTTGACGATATAGAGTTTACAAAATGATATTGGGTTTAATTTTTTTATTACAAAAGTTAATAAATTATACTACGGTACCTATATCAAAATTAATTACAATTAAAATTTTGTATAATTGGTGTAGTTTTTTTAAGGGTGTATCCTTTCTTATTTGAGCGTTTATTTCATCCTGTTGAACTAAAGCTTTTGCTGTTTATTTTAAAATACTGATTACAGATATCTGTCATCTGACATATAAAATTTTCGCGAAAATAAATTCTAGTAGATATTATTTCCAATATAATAATCTTTTAAATGGCTTAAACGTACACAAATGACTGAAATTGAAAATTTCGAAAATATTCGAAAACCTGTTGCCTTTTTTGAAGCAATAAAACTCTTATTACAATATTATTTTTATTTTAACAAAATAAAGATTCTTGTAAGTAACCTAAAGTACAGAAATTAATGCGAATTAAAATTTTGAACATGAAAAACACAATTATTATTTGTTTTTTCCCTGTGTGGATGTTTGGGCCACATTGCTTTGGTTTGTTGCGTTAACAATATTTTCTTAAACTTATTAATTTTGAATGATGTTCACTGTCTAACTGTAGATAAGGTTTCAATGAAATATATTGATTGTCACCCGTAATTTTGATGATTTCCTGTTCATTGACACCCGCTTTTGCAAGATGAGACACTGCTAAGACTTGCAGAGTGATTGGTAATATTAACTTTTTTGTATCTATACCAATCATTTCAGCAGATTTGAGCCAGTTCGAAATAATATTCACGCCAATTGGCATATTTTTGTACCATCCCATGTAATTTGATTTTTTTAAGCCGGGTTAACCGTTAGAAAAGCCTGTCAGTTTTAATATTTGCGTTTCGCTTACTTTTAATTTTTGAAGCAAAACAACAGGGCATATATCAGGGTAATTGTTATTAGGAATCAACGTTATAATAATAATAATAATAATAAATACTTTATTGATCCCAAGAAACATAGATTGTTTATAGAGGGACAAACTCTAAACATCTAATAATTACAATATATATATATCTATCACAGTGATAAAGCAACATTATCTTATAAGATAATTATAGTCTTACAAATATACAATTTACAAACATACTTTATACATTAATTTACAATTTACATATTTACTGAACTTTTTTTTCAAATTCAATACTCAAGAAGAAGACACGCAGGTTAGCCTCTTATCAAGGATTGAAATACTCTTTTATATGTCTTGTCGATTTTGTTTTTATATCTTCTGGTAAGCTGTTATATATATTAACACCTCTATATAATAAACATGCTTTACCATACTTTGAAAAGACGTGTGAAACTGCTAAATTATTATTATTTCTTGTGTTGTGTAGATGTATTTCATTTCTGGCTTTAAAATTAATATTCGTGTGTTTCTTCTCAAGTATAGAACCATGAACAAAGCTACACACCTGATATTTATAAATATTATCAATGGACATTATTCTAAAGTTAGTATAAAGATCTTTTGAATGATATCTTGAGGGTAAACAATACAGGTTCTTTATTGACTTGTTTTGAAGAGTGTTTGTTGGGCTGTTTTTGAGAATATCGGGTTATACTACATGCGACGCGTCGTTATTTTATTCTTCTTTAAATTAATGCACCAAACGTGGTGCACCTTCTCTACCACGCCAGGCCAGTTCATATGACGCTATGAGATAAAACTTTGTTTGTAATCCAGTCGGTGTATCTTCATAGTAGCCTTTAATCATTTCCAACAACTCCTGTTTTTTAACTATGCTTTCTTTTGTCTGGTTCTTTTTGCAGCAATTTGCGCTTCGTATTCCTGGCACTCTCTTATATTTGAATTCAATGTCTTTAAATGGTTCAAATTTTCTGTCAAATGTGTCAAAATACAATTCTTGTAACAATTTGGCCGTTTTGTTCCACATTATTTTGATCACGGTTTCCTCTAAATCATCACCATCTTGCTTTTTCATATTAAATGCGCAGTCTTTTAAAATATCGGCTAGTTTTGTCACTGGTGTCTTTTCTTCAAGCTTAAGAGGGTTGCCATTTATATTTCGGGAATAGAAAAAACAAACAACAATTAATCATCGTACATGGCTTTATTGTTTTTCAAAATATTCTCCATGAAGATCGACACACTTTTGCATGCACTTGAATCAATTTTCGAAGCATTTTTTTCACTCCGATTGAGGCAAAACATGCATTTTGAACGCATCAACCGCTTCTAAAGACCCACACAGTCGACTGCTGTTTACATTCAGGTTCATACGTATAGATCCATGATTCGTCACCTGTTACAATGTCATGAACATGTTTTGAAGGACCGCCATCGTATTTTTTAGGCATTTCTTTTGACCACTAGACATTAACCATTTTTTGATCGATTGTCAAATTATGTGGGATCCAACGGTAACAATTTTTTCTGACGGCCGAATGTTCATTTAATATTGAATGTATGCTGGCCCCACTAATGCCCAAGGATGACCCAATCTCACGATATGTCACATGACGATCTTGCAGTACCAATTACGCACATCATCAATGTTTTTTGCGAGAACGAGTGATTTTGGACGACCTTCACGAAATTCGTCGGTGAGCGAACCACGGCCACGATTGAATTAGGAACACCACCGATATGCACTTGTTTTTTATGGCACTTTTTCGCCAAAAGTCAAATTAAGTTCATCGATGCAATATTGTTGGGATAATCCACGTTAAAGTTGTAAAAATTATAGCACGAAAATGTTCACGGGTCAATTCCATTTTTTTGGCCGACATTAATTTTTGTGACTGCTAATGATACTAATTGCGCCTGCAAAACGTTTTAAGTAAGAACACCGTCTAAAAGGTCGAACTTAACGATACAGACATCTGCAGGTTCGGCCATTCCCGAAATATAAAAGGCAACCCTCGTATAACCTTGTTCCTCGCAAAATGATTCAAATTGTTTAAAAATGGACACGTTGCTCACCATGGTATTCTTGCATGCATTTTGCTTAATTATCCCATTTATTTTTTCACGGATGATGTACTAAAACTTTTTTTATTTATATTTTCACCAGAGAACACAAAAACCACTGAACAAACTTAATTTGGCAGTTGTTAACTGACAAATATTTGGTTGCTATAAATAAAAATAATCAAAACGAAATTATTTCCGCGGAAATAGGCACATGTGAATACTGCCGTGCTAAGCCAAACCCCCGTATACGCAAGAATATTATTAAGTATTAAAGGACAAAAGATAATTTTTATTGTTTTTAACAATGAAAATGATCTTTTGTCCCGTATAACTCAATATTGTACATACAGGGGTTTGGCTTACCAGGGCAGAATATTTCCAGTTTAATAATGTTTTGATTGGCTAAAACGTGTGCACATGATTAAAATTGTCAGTTTCTATTGGCTTATACAAACGTCAAAAAATAATCAGTAAAATTTAGTTTAATTTAGTGCCGTGTATAGATTTTTTTAAATCGCTAATATGAATTCTTAAAAATTTACTCTCAAAAACTGACATAGTAGTCCTTGTAATTTGTAAAAATATGGTATTTTTTGCTTCAAAAATACAGTTTATTAAGATCTACACTTTAAAACAAATTCGGTTAAAATCGCACAATAAATAAAGATTTTAAGTAGCAAACAAATGGGAAACACTGTGTGTAATTTTTTGTTAAATTTTCCAATGTTTAATTTCGAAAATATTCTAAAACTAAAGAAACTTACTACTTTCTCCATTGTTTATACTGCATAATCCGCAATAATGCTGAAACTTTGGATTTATTAATTTTTTTGGTTCCACTATAAATTCCATTCAAAATTTTAATCAAATGCCCGTTTTTCGCGACCGATTTGGCATGGAACGCTCCATATATAAAACTGCATATCGCAAATATCGCAAACTCAAGAACTGATTGACCCATTTTTTAATTCAGCGTGCCCAAATTAATGTATACCTTTTACTATTTTAGCCAATCTTTTTCCCGAAAAACGACAAGACTGGCACCCTCTTGAACGTTGAGGAGAAGAAGCTCAAGGACCGGCCATCGTACGGCGGCGGCAGGCCAAACAGCGACCAGAACCGCGGCCCTCGCGGCGACAACAACGGACAGAGGCGTGGAGGCGGCGGCGGCGGGCTCAGTGGCGGACCACCGCGTAACAACGGCGGTCTTAACGGCCCCAACAATCGCACTTACAACAACCGAGGTGGTGGTGGCGGCGGCGGCCCCGGTGGCCCTATGAGCCGCCCCAACACCTATAACAACCGTCGCTAGCGGTTGCTCTTCGGCTTAAGGCCGTCGTTTTTCTTTCTGCCGCCTGTAGACAAAAAAAGTCACAATAACACAATAAAAACAAAAATCTAAGAACGTTTTTCGCGTTAAAACACGGACTACCTACAGTGCGTACGACGTTGTACAGTTTTTTCTTTTTTCGAGTCTGAGAAGCGGAACCGTTTTTGTATAATTAGTGCCAATAGCGGACTTGTTTAGCTGTGGTGTATTTCATTTCAAACCTATTTTTAGTCAAAACAAAAAACAAACTAAAAAAATCGAAAATTTTGTATCAGTACAAATTTAGAACCCACTAAACGTAAAAATTGACACTATTGACAACGTTTATTTTTCTCCACAATCATTCATATTTGCCTTTGAAATGGTGTTGCTCACATTCAATGTTTTTGATCTTAAGCGAGCGACGTGATCCCCTGGAAATAAAGGAGATAACATCGACGCAGTTGTGTGTTTAAGTACTTATTGGCTGTGTTTTGTAATATTTAGGTATCCCTCTGACATTTCAGAATGTTTAGCAACACAATTTTATTGGAAAAATAAACCACTGTCTTATGCTAGTTAATTGATCTAAATAAACCCACCCAAACAAATGGTTTGATTTTGAATATGTGTATTTATTTAGCTGGTCATCACCTGCAGGTTCAACCTTTTTTTTACCAATTGTAATTTTATATTTTATTACATGTAGTGTTTATTGTAACACGATTTGAAAACTAGAAACTACTTCCAATATTTTATTTTTGTCTTGGTGCATAAGACCCCTTAACAATAGACTTTCAATAATTATTAGTTTTTTTATTCAGTATTTTGTGTCAGCACTATAAAATACAAATGTTTGCAATTGTTTTAAAACAGTTGGTAAAGGTAAGTATTTTGTCTCCAATAACTCCAATTACTTTGATTTTTCACGTGCTGGGTGAACTTTTGTCAATTATAATGTGCACAAATTGCCTTTACTTTGCGAAATCGTTTAAAAATTAACGTTCATGTATTTTTCATTTAAATAAAATAGAACAGTAATAAATACTACTACTTTGGTGACTATAAATTATTAAACATGCAATAATCCAAAATTAAAGTTCTTAAGATGAGGTTGTGCAAAAACTTGATACTCTAAGTAATTTGTTTCATTTACTTTTACCTTGTTCCTATTTTACAGCTCACAATAACCGTTTTAATGCTACAAGAATGTTCTTTTATTTATTTGATAGCTGAAGGTATGTTCAAGATAAAATTAAATGAAAATGAAGGCTGAAATTGTTCGTATGATAATATTTGCAATTAAATGTATGAGAGTATTTTTTAATTTTTATATGTACCTACCGCCTTTATGTGAATAAGTGGAATTATAATTACTGGCTTAGTCTAAAATAAACTGCGTCTTGAGTTAATTGAAACTTTCATGACACATTTTTACTTTTTTAAGCTCTAGACGCTGAGATTTTGTAAATTAAATTATTAACTTTAGACACAGTTTTAAAATGTATTTGGTATTACTTATTAATGTTTTCTGTTTTTGATGTTTTTCCTGTGATAACTTTTCCCTAAACACCGAAATAATACAATAATTGCTGTTACTTTATTATTAGTGGTGTATTCAGTAGTTAATTCATATCTATCTACAATAGAAATTTTTAGAGTCGCTCCACCTTGGTTTTTAATTTTAGTGCGCAGTATAACACTGCCTATACCTAAATACCAAAGTTCTTCCTTAAAACAAAGACTTGGCAGGTTCCACTAGTCACAAAAATGTTTCAGTTTAATTTTTTCTCAGTTTTTTCGTTCCTGTATTTGTCATACTGTTATATAAGGAACATTAAAGTAACTTGTTGATTAAATAAAGCATTTTATTTCAAAATAATGAATGCCAATAGTTACTAATTTTCATTTTTATATGCAGGGTAAGCAGCATGCAATAAAATAAAAAATGACAAATTGAAGTTTCTTTTAAATTATATCCTTTTTATATTTTAAAGCAGGTAAGGTAAACATTAAGGAATAATTATTCTTTTAGATTATAAATTTGGTATTTTTGGAATTTTTTAGAAATAATCCATGTGTTGATATTATTGTTCTGCAGACACAGAAATATTGGTCATATCCATAAACCTCGTCGAAATATTTTCTATTTTGTCTTTTAATTAAATAGGTAAGTTATATTTTTAATTATTAAATATAGTATAGGGTGTATAGATTTCAGGTTGACTTAAGTTAAAACAGTAATTATTTTATACATACCCTGCTGAAAATGACGGATGATTGCGGATATAAATTCTTCGTCAAAACCGGATAAAAGCAGATGATTGCGGGTATAAATTCTTCGTCGAAGCCGGATAAAGGCAGATAAAAGCGGGTAAAAATATCATCTGATAACATCTGCTTTTGTCCGCATCGCTATATCCGCGAACACCCGGTTGGTTGTGTTTTATGTCCGGTTAGTGCACCCCTGCAATCATCTGTTTTTAACCGTCTTCACTGTGTTTCGTTTATATCTGAATTTGTCCGGAATCATCTGCAAACGTCTGTTTTTATCCGCGAGCATATGCTTTTACCCGCGAACATCTGCAATCATCCGCGAACATCTGCTTTCATCCGCGAATATCTGATTTTATCTGCCAACATCTGCTTTTATCCGCGAACATCTGCTTTCATCCGCGAACATCTGCAGTCACCCGCGAACAACTGCTTTTATCCGCGATTACCTGCATTTTTTTCGTCTATTTTTGTCGGGTTTTATCTGCAAACGTCTGGTTTTATCCGCGAGCATATGCTTTTACCCGCGGACATCTGCAATCATCCGCGAACATCTGCTTTTATCCGCGAATATCTGCTTTCATCCGCGAACATCTGCAGTCACCCGCGAACAACTGCTTTTATCCGCGAACATCTGCAATCACCCGCGAACATCTGCTTTCATCCGCAAACGTCTGGTTTTATCCGCAAACATCTGCTTTCATACGGTTTTACCCACAAACATGCTTTTATCTGCGAACGCCTGATTTCATCCGGTTAGTGCACCCCCGCAAACATCTGCTTTTATCCGCGAACATCTGCAATCACCCGCGAACATCTGCTTTCATCCGCGAACATATGCAATCATCCGCAAACATCTGCTTTTATCCGCAAACATCTCATTTTATCCGCAAACATCTGCTTTCATCCGCGAACATCTGCAGTCACCCGCAAACATCTACTTTTATCCGCAAATATCTGCTTTCATCCGCGAACATCTGCTTTTATCCGCGAACATCTCATTTTATCCGCGAACATCTGCAATCATCCTCGAACATCTGCTTTTATCCGCAAACATCTCATTTTATCCGCGAACATCTGCTTTTATCCGCAAACATCTGCTTTCATCCCCAAACATTTGCTTTTATCTGCAAACATCTGATTTTATCCGCAAATATCTGCTTTTATCCGCGAACATCTGCTTTTATCCGCAAACATCTCATTTTATCCGCGAACATCTGCTTTTATCCGCAAACATCTGCTTTCATCCCCAAACATTTGCTTTTATCCGCAAACATCTTATTTTATCCGCGAACATCTGCTTTCATACGGTTTCACCCGTAAACATGCTTTTATCTGCGAACGCCTTATTTCATCCGGTTAGTGCACCCCCGCAAACGTCTGATTTTATCTGCAAACAACTGATTTTATTTGCAAACATCTGATTTTATCCGCAAACATCTGCTTTTATCCGCAAACATCTGTTTTAATCTCCAAACATCTGATTTTATCCGCAAACATCTGCTTTTAATTGCAAATCTCTGCTTTCATACGCGTTCGGTTTGCCTATATTTCCTTTGTCCATTTTGCAATTAAAAGCAGATGTTTGCGGATAAAATCAGATGTTTGGAGATTAAAACAGATGTTTGCGGATAAAAGCAGATGTTTGCGGATAAAATCAGATGTTTGCAAATAAAATCAGTTGTTTGTGGATAAAATCAGATGTTTGCGGATAAAATCCAGATGTTTACGGATAAATGCAGATGTTTGCGGATAAAAGCAGATGTTTTCGGATAAAATCAGATGTTTGCGGATAAAATCAGATGTTTGCGGATAAAATCAGATGTTCGCGGATAAAACCAGATGTTTACGGATAAATGCAGATGTTTGCGGATAACATCAGATGTTTGCAGATAAAATCAGATGTTTGCGGATAAAAGCAGATATTTGCAGATTAAAATAGATGTTTGCGGATAAAAGCAGATGTTTGGAGATTAAAACAGATGTTTGCGGATAAAAGCAGATGTTTGCAGGTGAAATCTTATGAATCAGACTTTTGCGGACTAAATGAGATGTTTGCGGATTAAAACAGATGTTTGTGGATTAAAATAGATGTTCGCGGATGAAAGTAGATCTTCACGTATAAAAGCAGATGTTTGCAGGTGAAATCGGATAAAGCAGACGTTTGCGGATTAAAGTAGATGTTTGCGGATAAATTCAGATAAAACCGGGTGAATGCAGATATAAACTCAAATACAGGTATTTGCGGATGAAAACAGATAAAAGCAGACATAGATCTAAATAGATAAAACCCGACGTTCGCGGATAATATTTATACCCGCAATTGCAGACAAAAACCGACATGCCGGGTAAAATCAGATATGTCGGATAAAAACAGATATAAATGGACATAAAACTAGCTTGGTTTTTTATCCGCAATCATCCGATATTACCCGTCTTTTTCAGCAGGGTACAGAAATATTTTAATTTCAAAGTAAAAGTAACGGATTAACTCTGAATGGCGATTTCTAGAATTATAATGCTAGAAGCGCCGTCATTTTCTTCTGCCTAAAAGTGCCAAGGGGGTCATATTGACCCTGTTTTTAGGGATATAAATTGCTGACTAGAGAAAGAAAATAAAACTGAAATTCATAATTTTTTTTTTGTCTGGCTTTAAAATTTAATTGTGGATTTAATTTAAGTTGTAAAGTTGTAGAAGCGCCGTTATTTTTATCTACCTAGAAGCGCCATAAGGGGTCATATTGACCCTACGTTTTTAGGGATATAAATTGCTGACTAGAGAAAGAAAATAAAGCTGGAATTCATAATTTATTAAAGAAAAAGTAAATTTACAAGTTTAGACTATACTATTTAGTGCAATTTAAACAATTAACGATTTTAATTATGTATTTAGTACACTAATTTATTTATAAGTTGTGCTCATAGTCTATATCAGTGAAAAGTCAAAAATTCTCAGCTTCAAAGTTCTATTAGGTCAAAAGATAATTACAATTTAATCTGAAAAGGGTTAAAATCATATACCTATAAGTTATAGGTATATGGTTAAAATGACCCCTATGGCGCTTCTAATGTTATTGTTACGACAAATGTTCTGAATAGATTAGCAAGGTGTCCACTTCAAGGAAACTCGAGGTGGTCAAGAAAAGTCAATAAAATCTAGTGGGTCATCTGGAAAGTAGCAAACTTTTCCAGTCATTGTAAGTGATACTGAATTTCCCTAGGTCCACATCAATAAGACGGCTTAAAAATTACCATTACCTATTACGAGCTCTGAAAATTGTTGACAACAAAACCAAATTGTTACAAACGCATCTGTTTCAGAAAGTCACGATCAAATAATGCAATGAAAAAACCTTTGTTGAAAGTCTAGTTGGCCCTATACAGCCTTATAACGTTATTAATCAATGCTCTCGTTGCTAATAAATTTTCAGTACCTACTCTTAAATTTTGTTGACTCTAAAATCTTAGTTTTTTTATTAATTACACCACAAAACTGATGCAAAGCGGTAAACCACTTGCACCAGTTTTGTAGTGTTGGTAATTAAGAGTACTGAAAATTTATTAGCAACGAAAAACATGTTGGATATCCAGATTGAGTTTGAAGCAAAACGTCTTTAAAAGGTTGCAAAATGTACTGTTTTTGTTCAAATGTTATTTTAGAAAATTCATTGTTGCTTTAATTCAAAGATTGTTTAAAAAAGCCCTACCAAGTTTCTTTTTGTGCATGGTTTGTCTTATATATGTTTATGCATATGCTTCGATCAAAAAATCGTTAAGCATCAACCTGAATTTGAAGTGGCCAATAGACGAGTGGAGACTAACCAGTTTCGGTGTTTAACCGTAACATACACATTTCCGACAGGATATCCAAAGCATGATAAACTGTTACAGTTAAACCATTGATCCTCACTCAAAAGGGTTAACCCTTGATTACTCGCACCCGGTGTGTGATATCGACGCTTTAACGTACTTTTTTAGCGCATCGACTTTACGCTATCTCCTCCTAGGTACCTTCCTATATTAGCCTTTCGAACTTAAGTCTAAAAGCGTTGGCGCATGGGTGTGATTTAGCGGCTTCCAGAATTTATTTCGGTGCGAGAGACCGATGCGAGTATTAAGGTTTTAAAAATTTAACTATGTATTCTTCCATAGCCGACCAACAAATACTTTAAAAACTAATGGAAGACACAGATTTTGAAAATGAAAGTAATTTTAATGACGATGAAGACAACGACGAAGAAGATTTCGTAAAGGAAAGGCATGAAAATAGCGAGTCAGAGCAAAATATTTCTTCTGAAGAATTATACTAATTTTTTGTTCTTAAATTGATATTTTGTTATGTTTGTTTATTAAAAACATTACTTTTAAGCATATTAACATAGAGTTTTTCTTAAAAATTTAAATATACACAAGATATTTAATAAACGTAATTTTTAACATTCGGTCTTAGACAGCGAAGCGACTAATGGCGTTTCAGAAAACAGTGCGACTAATGAAGGGTTTAACAGCGAAATTGTATAGTCTCGACATTAACTGGCTAATATGGTTTGGTTTGGTGCACAAAACAATGCTTTATTTGAGGTTATTTTGGACTATAACCACCCACAATATATATATGGGGTATTCCATACCAAATCGACCACTTTTGAACCCGACCCCTTTAGATTTTGCTGAAACTTTTCCATCCTTTTCTACCCTTTGAAAAACATTTTTGAAAATTTTTTCAAATTTTTTTGTCCAACCTCAAAAAAGTTATGAATTTAAAAAAAAAATGGCTTTTTTATTTTCAAATAGCCATAACTTTTTTAGAAATTGACTTTTGGGTACATTTTTTTTTTTATTTTTGTTTTTGAATGAACTTTTCAAAAAAATACACGAAAAAAATTTAACATGATCAATTATATAAAATAATCGTTTTTTTTAGTAAAATCGTCATTTTTTCAAAGTTCGCCATTTTTTTTTTGTTTTTTTTTCTCAAAAAAAACTTCAATCAATTTGACAACTATCCCCGCTAATCCCGGAGTGGGCCGATTTTTTTTTGTATTTTTTTTATTTATTTAAAAAAAAATTGTCAAAGAAAATTCGACAATTTTTTTTTAAATAAATAAAAAAAAATTAAAAAAAAATCGGCCCACTCCGGGATTAGCGGGGATAGTTGTCAAATTAATTGAAGTTTTTTTTGAGAAAAAAAAACAAAAAAAAAAATGGCGAACTTCAAAAAAATGACGATTTTACTAAAAAAAAACGATTATTTTATATAATTGATCATGTTAAATTTTTTTCGTGTATTTTTTCGTGTATTTTTTTGAAAAGTTCATTCAAAAACAAAAATTAAAAAAAAAGGTACCCAAAAGTCAATTTCTAAAAAAGTTATGGCTATTTGAAAATAAAAAAGCCATTTTTTTTTAAAATTCATAACTTTTTTGAGGTTGGACAAAAAAATTTGAAAAAATTTTCAAAAATGTTTTTCAAAGGGTAGAAAAGGATGGAAAAGTTTCAGCAAAATCTAAAGGGGTCGGGTTCAAAAGTGGTCGATTTGGTATGGAATACCCCATATATATATATATATATAAATATTAGGGTGCTTTTTTTTTCACGGCTATTTTTATTTTTCGCTCCCAACTCAAAATCTTGTTAAAAATGTTAAAAAAAAATTCACTGAAAATTTGAGCCTTTAATATTAACTCAAAGTACTCTACCAAAGAGTATAAAGATTTCCCATTTAAAATACACGTAAACTTTGATTATTTTTTTTTAAATATCTATACCTCAGCCGCATTTTATGCTATTGGATTGTTTCAAAAAGGGATTTACTCAAAAGTTATACAAAAATGCTTTATGTGCCATAGCTGTAATCTGCACCTGTAGGATGGTATGGGTCACTAAATCTTATTTTAGTGTTAGTATTTTTGAAGATATTTCAAAAGTGACTGTATTCTTTGAAAAAATGTAAAGGACAAACTTTTAGAAAATTTAATTTTCTTTAAAAAAGGTTGAATCGCTAAGATTGATATTTGTTGAGATATAAAGCGTTTACATTTTATGAAATTTTCATATGATATATATGCATATTATGTACTTCATTAACTTTAAAGCCCTCTTGCGGTTAAACGAAGCAACAAGTAAAATAAGATTTATTTTGAATCAAGGAATTTAAAGTACCTATTTTATTGTACACGTATTTTCGGAACACTCTGTATAGTAAAGAAAGAAATCACTGCAGTTTATGACATGAACTTCATGTTATTAACATTAAATTTGAGATATTATAAATTTCAATAAAGCACATGTTTTATGTATTAAGTAATATATGTGCCGAATTAATTGTATGTTTAATCAACTATAGCGTCAAAAGTTACACACATTTATATACGGACTCTTTTATTTAATATGGCAGAAAAGGACGGAGGCGGTGCGTGGTGTGCTTTCAATGCGGGTATACATGAACCATAAGCGTACTTATTTTTTTTTTATAAATTTTAATTTCTGTTTTTCACCAATGCTTGCTTTCATTTTATGAAAAAAAAATAATGTCCAGTTTCTTTAAACATATTTTTTTCTTTTTAACGAAAGCCAAAATTTTTTAGTAATATAGATCTACATACGTATGTAATGTAGTAATGTACATTACTTAAAAATTTGTTTTAAGATACTTGAAAAATACCAAGCTTATGATATAACTGGACATTTTAATATGTTTAAATCAATTAATATATTATGAGCTCATATATGAGCTAATATGAGAACTAGTTCTTTATAAAAATATTCGATTAGATGTTATTACTACTTTTTTACTTTATTAAATATTTTTAAATTGTATTAATTTATATTTCAAGTAAAAATCAATGTTTTTTTTAAACCAACGCTGACTTAATTTTAGCCAAATGTTGTTCGGGAGTTCCGCACATGGAGTCGACCATGATTAAGATGCTGGATCTTTCATCTCGCTTGGGTTCGTTCTTTAAGGCCGCAGCAGCAGTGGATTTTCATTTTTGTTCACTTTCGACATTCAGTTGCAGTTTGAGTGCGTTAGAGGCGACAGCGACTGGTAAGTACCGCCCTTTATTTTACTTAACAAATCCGCTAGTGGTTATGTTTTTTAATAAGTTAACTTATTGTTATATGAAATATCGTACTTAAGTTAAATTAGTTACCCGTTTAGGTATCTACTTCATGAACTTATCTATACAAATTTTGTTATTTTCTATGAACTATAATATGTTGTATATTAAAATTTATAAATAATTTTATAAATTTTCTTGGAATAATCAATTATTAATATAATTTAATCTGTAATATATATCTGTAATACATAGTTTTTAATATAAATCTTTACATTTAGGTTAAAATATGAGTAATGTGAGATACAGGTGTAAGGGTTTTTACTTTGAAATCTATTGTTTACTTTAAGTCCATTCTTAAAACTTGTTTGAATAAATTTCAATAGAAAAATTATTGAATAGAATGATAAATTGAAAAAAGATCTATTTACCTACTAGTACCTACCTATATTATTTTTTGCATATTTTTTTACCAAAGCACACATATTTAATCCATGGTTCATTCCATGGATTAAATGCATGTTAAAAATACTTAAAAAAAAAGTCTCACATTTAAATAATTTTTGATGTCCCGAATATGGCGAACGCTTAAAATACATATTCTGTAACAAGTTTGGAATACGGCATATTAATGTGACAATATGATGGTCATATTATAATATAATAAAAACTCGAAAATTTCCAGTCAGAATATTATTTTTTTTACCAACACGATTAAAATTGGTATTGAAATGTCTATTCCTGCTTTTTTTTAAACAATTATATATCTTTTTTTTCGTGAATATATTTTTGTTTAACGAGAAAGCAATGTAAGACTTACATATAAATAATATTGTTATTGTATTGGAGTCATTTTAACATAGATTTGCATGTGTAGGAAGTTGAATTTAACAAATAAAATATATAAACCACGCATTTTTATAGCAAAGATATTAATAACTAATGGTTAACCAAGAGAACTTGAATTTTGGTTTATTGTATTATTACGGGGTAGACTAACAAAATTACACTAACTGTTAGTGTTTCTGTTATTCTGTTTAGTCTTAATACCTATTGTGTAATTATTACTATGTAACCTGGACTAGTCCAATACCTTTTTACTTATCAAAAGTATCTTTCGTTGAAAATGGATAGAATACTCTGAATTTATCACAGCTGTACGTGTCTTTTGTATAATAAAATTTTGTAAAATCACCTAACATTTAGAAAAAGTCTGTTTTTTTGTCTAATTATAATTATAATATTTGACAAGTTTGTATACTCGTATAATAACTTTTAGAAAAAAGAACATTATTGAAATAATTGAAGAAGCAAGTGGATAAAGGTGTTAAGTAACAATTTTAATAATAAAGGACAAAAAATATTGCAATTGCAATACCAAATTTATATTTATTTACAATCACAATATTGTGTTCTTTTCTAATTTAAATGTAACATGAGACCTTTAAAGAAACAATATTGTGATTGTAAATAAAAATAAATTTGGTATTGCAATTGCAATATTTTTTGTCCTTTATTATCAAAAATGTTACTTAACCCTTTGATCCACTTACCCTTTCAGTTATCATGTAATATTTATTTATTTATTTACATTTAAAGATCTGATTTTTTACAGAATAGGCACAAGGGGTATTAAAAATATTATTGTTAATTTGACGGCACATAACGTGTTATAATAATAATGGAACGAAACGAATGGAATTATACTTCATAAAGTCAAATTGATTTATTAATTTTAAATTAATTCCATTAAATAGGCAGCTGTGTTCTAAATAAATGTTAAAAAAATATAAATAGCGATATTTTAATAAAAATCAAAATTATGTATTTAATCATCCCTATTTAATATGGATGTCAAAAAAGTATATTATTTCTATTAGTGAACTATTTTTTTCAAAATCGCCTGCTTGTGAATATAGCCAATTTTTTTAAAACCTATAAATTTTTCGTGAAATGATAAACATTATAAATTCCCTGCCTAACAACGGGAATAATGAACTCTTTATTCACATTGCTAGGCATCAGCAATTGGCCGATTTCAATATTTACTGATTTTAACCAATCGGGTTTTAATTGGGAGAAGGTGACTATAATAACATTTAAAATTGGTAAAAAGTGAGGTTAACCATTTGACAGATGTCAGATTTTATTTAATTTTTGAAAATCATTAAATTTTCTACTTATTGTAGTAGATAAAGTATGGTATTACACTCGAGATTATGCGTATTATTCACTTGGATGATTTAAGTCTCTCGTCTGGCGACTCGAGACTCAAACCTCATCCTCGTGAATAATAGCCTGCATTATCTTTTGTATAAAAATATTAACTATTATAACAAACATTTAAATTAGATTTATATAAACGCCTAGGAAAATTAACTTATAATCAATAAATTTCCAAATTTTTCGTATAGATCTACAGAATGGCCCAGTACAAAAATATTAAAAGTATGGGTCTTTCCACGCCAAAATCGGCCGTGAAAAACGAACATGTGTCCGATTTGCTTTAAGTTTTGAGGGTCTATAGTGAAACCCAAAAAATAAAAAAATCCAAACTTTGGGGGGGGCTTTAGTTTTAGTGGGCAAAAATACAGAGGAATATCATGGTCGTTTCGTAATATACTTATTTTTCTATAAAATAGTAAATAAAGGTACTTAAAAAACTCACTTGTTCTCATGATTTCCAAGCAGCCTGTACATTTAATTCACCTTTTTTGCGGGAATCTTTAACAATCAGGAATTTTTATCAAGAATGAATTTTTTCGTAAAACCGTGCGTACCTACTTTTTTCTTGAAGCATTTTCATGTTTTTTAATTTTCGAGCAGCCTGTCAAACATTTTTATTGGGAATCTCGATTTCTTAAACAAGCAGGAGTTTTTATAAGGAATAAATTTTTTTCATAAAACGCATATTAAACAAGTTTTTTATATGGGCAATCCCATCCGGGGACACTGCAGTAAATAAATCCTGACGTGTAGGGCCAAACAGAGTTCAGATGTAGTTTCAGCCGGCGAAAATAAATAGGAAAATCATAGTTTTATTCATGGCAAAGACGACCTTTAAGCTAGTTACTAGTCGGTAACTATAGTTATAGCTATAGCTAGTAACTTGTCAGTTTTAGTACCTACTAAAATTGTCAAACCGTCTATGCGTCTATATTTTAAGCCAATTGAGGACTCACGCAACCTCAATGTATCTGGGAACGAGTTGAAACTTTGAACTTATTGTGATTTAAAAAGTGTGTTTGCAGAGTTCTGTATTATCTTGAATAGTTTAGTTTAGTATACTTCCTTTAAGAAATAAAAAATGTAGAATCTACGTGCCCATATTTAGAGATGCGACTTGAAAAAAAAACGGTCCGTTTTTTTTCAGGTTTTTTTTTCATTGTTTTTTTTCAAATGGTTTTTTTTCACATTTTAGGTTTTTTTTCAAGATTAGTCCCATTTGCCTAATTTTTTAGGTTTCATGGACTAAAATTAGCCACTAAATGACAATTATTAATACAGGGGACTGTTTATAAAATCCGGAGACAAAGTTTAGATGACTTTTTTAGAATTACAAAATAATAATTATAAAAAATAAATAAGTCACAGTAACAAGCAAACAATATTGGTTGAATAATTAAACAATTAGGTTGATTCCAATAGTTACTGTCTTTAATTAATTTAGTCTGACGTGACCATTTTGCTTTGGTGAAAAAGCTTTCAAAAGCACTTTTTTCATGATTTTTCAAATTCATGTAGAGTATGGAATTTAAAAAAAAAACAGCAAATTCTTGTAGAACATTTATTCATTGGTAGTTAAGTCAGAACATTCCGTGGACCAGAAAGCGAAAAAAAATCGATTTTTTTAATACGGTATTTGTTAGGATTGAGCGTTGCACATTTTTCATCTAAAAATCTCAAAACTAGAAACTTCAAGCTTCAAATTGCTTTTTTACGGCTCCAATACGACCATTTTTAACAAAGATACCGCTATCCGAAGAATCGCAAAACAATTTTTTTATCCTTTAATTTTTTGTATTGGTGTAGAAGTTTTACATTGCTACTGGTTTCTAATGTGGAAACTAGCAAATAATAAGAAATCAGATTTTTTAGTCTCGGTCAAAATTTTCAATAATGAAAAATTTAATATATTCTACATTTCACTTTATTATTAATATATATTTTACTCAAAATTTCATTTTGAAAAAAAAACAAAAAAACCGTTTTTTATAGGTTTTTTTTCACATCTGAAAAAAACCGTTTTTTACATCTCTACCCCTATTACGTTAATACAATTACCTTATATTTTTAATTTTGAGGGTTGGTTTTCTGTTGAATAAAACTATTTAATTTTACTACATGAAAACTAATTTTACGTGGGTCTCAGCCATCCGCTGTTTTTATCCACAGGAAACTGAATAGTCAAAACTGCAATCAAATGCATTTTTAATTGCGACATAATTAATTTATTGATTATACATTACATTATTGTACATTGCTAAAAAGTTAACTAACTGTATAATAATTATAACCCGTATTTAGAACAAGTACCTAATGTAAAAATATCTTTATTAATATTATTATAAAATTTAGCATAAAAGATTGTAAAGAAGTATTTAAATAATACTTATAACATTTTTATAATTAAATTAAATTATCTATAAGCCTTGTTTGAAAAAAAACTCATCTTGAAAATAATAAAAAATCATGTAACATGAACATAAAATGGACATAAAGGGGCCCGCATTTCAGATCCTACCGATTTTCTACTTTAATTTACTGGGTGTCCCAAAATTATCGTGCAATACTTTAACAGCAGATTCTACGTCCACAAATAGGAAAAAAGTTCCTATAAACATAGGTCGAGAAATGCTTCCTAACACAGCAAACGGAAAAATATATAAGCATTGGATGACGTTTCAATACTCTCCACAGCATAGAGGTCGTAATTTGACTTTTGAACTAGTATTAATATGAAAATTATTTTATGCTTGAAAAAAAA